GTTCATACATCGATGGCACTGCGAACTTCTTCTATGTTTCCATTCATAACAGCTGTGAGAATTGGATTCTCAGAACACCGAGAATGTGCTCTAGGAGTGGAGCACGACGATCTGCGGCTACGAGAGACCGGAAGGACCCTGAATAGACTCAATTTTTGGAGAAAACAGGAGCACACAGCTAGTACAGCTATGACAACCAACTACGGTCACGGCAGACAACCGACTTCAACCTTACGACTACTTTTGGAAGCCACTGAATCATCGTCGTGCATGGTTGAAGTACTGCTTCCATGCTCCCATTGTTTGACTTCTTTGGAGCCACTACGTTTCTTCGTCGGAAGATCCAACCAAGGCGCTTTGTCCTAGATATTTAATAATTCAAAAAAAGTTTTGGTAAAAGATCCCCACTTGATCAAAACTTACCGATTTCTTTGCTCGGGCATCGAATGTTTTAGTTGGTTTTGCATGGAAGTAATTGTACGCCTTCTCACAATGGTAAGTTTTTACCTCCTGAAAGAACTTGGTTAGGTATGGTTCTCGCACTGCGAGTGTTATAGGACTGCTGAAGCATTGCCCATAACCATAACCGAGCAGTTTCGAACAAGCGAACAGTATACGGTCAAGGACGGCAATTAACAACTAAAAAATTCAAAATCATAGTATCCACTAGAGCTCATCCTTGCGGTTCACTGCCGATGCTGGCTAATCGGTGCACCAGATCATGTGTGAGTGCTGATAAGCTATTGTAAAGACACCAACAAAACTAAGGAAAAGGTGCAGGGAGGGCCCGGTAATGCATTTGGTAACCTTCCGAACGGGAAACGAGGGGTGCCTTCCTTTGGTTCCCACCTGCGGCGAAGAGTTCCCCCTAACACAGCAATCCTCTGAGGTTTACATCACTGTTATACTCCACTCCGACTTCAGAAAGTCATGGTCAGTGGAGACACTCAGTTTTTGAAATTTCGTTGCTCGGATTTAAAAGCCTAACAACCAGATACTAACTGACAATGAGATATTTGGTAGACGAGCGTCCTCAACACTTGTTTGATTGTCAATTACGCAGAACGATAGAACTTTCCATACACCAACACAGCCAACAATCATACAACAATGTGCTGCTCTCGATGTACGAGGGTTCATACTAACTTGACAGAAACTTCAAGAAAGTCTATGTAATACCTGTGTGGGTTCCCTTCCGAACAAATCACTGCGTGCATGCACAGCTTGAGAAAGAAATAACGTGGGTCTCTGTGTCGAAGTCATAATAGGTTCACCTAATACTGGTATACTGTCCGAAATGGCATTGGCCTTCCTGAATTAGCAAAATCTATAAAATGGACTACGGAAGTGCACAGTGGGTACAACTATACTTTTGTTTCTGTCTATTGGGCTGTGATAAGGGCTTTTCGCCCAACCCATGCGAACCATTGGGTGGCGAGATAGGAGGTATAAGTGATAGGTATACGGTCCATATCTCGCCCGCTGATTAGGCCGGTCAACGGATTTGACGTGGCAGCGGCTGCATTTGACAGAAGTCGTGTGGATAAGCTGTTTTCAGTATGCTATGCTTACCAGCGAAGTGCACTGAAACAGTTTATCCACGCGTCTTCTATCAAGTGCGGTAAGCGCCACGTCAAATCAGTGGATCGCCTAATCAGACGGTCAGATATGGACGGTACTATTGTAATAGCTGCAATCCTGCCAACATATTTGTAAATTAGTAGCAGCAATGGACATACGGAGTTGTTGCTGTGATTTCCTCATCAGAAAAGTCGTCGAAGCAATCAGCAAATTCAACAGCTGGCTTAGCATTTGCTCCGATATTTGCGTTAGACTTTAGTTTTGGAGGTGGTGTGTCATTAAGTTCTTCTGAATAACTACTTTCCCGGGATCTGAAACACTTATAAAACTGATTCGCGAGAAATATTTCACTATACACAAATAGATCACCCACCTTTCATTCCCTTCTTCCGGTATCGGATCACATACTCTTTGAGTGCTGATGAAATC